CTGCAGGAGTCATGGGCGGGGTGTGTGGGGATGGGGGGAGGAGCGCTCTCCGCCATGAGGAAGTTCGGCTTAAAGACACATCCCAGGGGCGTTTCTTGTCCCCACCTGTTGTTTTGCTCCTCAGCATGGCTTCATAAAAACACTGCAGGATTTCTCAAACATGATGAATGAGTCAGAGCAAGGCTTTGGGCATGTTTTTTATGAGAGTATATATAACATTATAACATGATATAAAACTCAAAAAAGTTGATTTTACATGATATTGCCCCTTTAAGTTTCAATGTCTATTTTTGTTTTCAATGTTTTATTTTTCAGTACCAAATCTTTTTTCAATGTCCATGTAAGCTGTCACTAATTTAGCTCCATATGTTTTCAGTGTCTAATTTTTGTGTAGAAATGGAAAAGGAAAAAACTGTCTCAACAGCTGTGTTTTGTTCCATCTCTTCACCGGTTTCTTGTATGCCTGTTTGATTTGGTGGCTGTTATGTGATGGTAACTTCTCATCAGCTGGTGTTGATGTCGCTCACCCACAGCCATCATGTAGTCCCAGCGGTCCAGGTAGCACAGGTTGAAGCTTTGTCCGTCTGATGTTGTGGCCGTGACAAAGACTGGAATGTTTCTGTCGCGGTTCTGAAGGACGCCCACCGTCCACGCACACAGGAACCAGCTGACTGTCATCAGCATCACCCCCAGAATCCTCATCAGGTGGAGGCTGGACATGTAGGGCATCCGCTGGGCTGTGCGTGAGAGGAACACCTTCAGCACCCTGTAAAAGAAAGGCAGACGTCAGTGTTTTGATTGAAGGAAAAAAATCTTAAAAGGCAAATAATGTGACATGTGACACAAAGTGTGACATGTTGAATAGGTGATTTTGACTGCCACCATGCAGGTGAGCTGCATGGTGGCATCAATGGTGCAACTGTATAGCTTTAATTATGGTGGTCAAGTAAGTCAACTCTTGGAAATATGTGGTCACACCTGTTGGCACAAGCTCTCTTTAAAAATTTGTTGTGCACAGATATGATGCATTACAATAATAGAGCTGTAGCGTTGCCATTGCAGGCGAAAAAAAAAACAAAAGCAAAAGAAGAGGAACTGAGAGGTATAACCATCATAAATGTTAYTTAATGACATACCTATTATTTTGACATTCATATACTATATCCAGAATAAATATTTCACAAACTAGAACTACCAGACCTCTGGCATTTGGCAGTTAAACCTTTAAATCCCAGGGAACTGCCATATGGCAG